TAATTTTCTCTAGCTTTATACAACAGAAGTATATATTTTGTGTTTCTGTTTTTGCATAAAGCGAGAAAAACATATATCTTCTTGTTATACTCTTATAATTATGATATATACATACATTTTAATTTGATTCAACTGTATGCAAAATAAATTATACAATTGCAGCGAAATAGGCTAACGAATTATACAATTTAGGCCAGCGAATTATACAATTGTATATGTACAGCAAATTATACAATTTTATGTTTGATATGGAGCGCAATTATGCAAAGTTTGTTATAGCGTACAAATATAAATTTTTTGTTTGCTATATGTGAAAGTTGCCCTTATTTGTATATGTTCTAAAGTAGGGCAAATCTTTATAAGTGAACAACTTGTGTTTGTCAAATTATAATTTACCATTGAATGACTTATTAATGGTCGTCGTCAACGTCTTAGTTAGGTAGTCATTCATAATTTATGACAATATAGAGCTTACTCATTATTAAGAGTTCGACAAATTCCATCTTGATCAATCTTATATGTAGCTCTACAAGAATTTTATATATACCTAGTGTTCTTCCAACCATTTTTGCATATGTCCAAAGTACGATAAGTAACTTGTCAATTACTATACTTCTCTTATCAAAGCAAACTAACATTTCAATGATATCCCTTGTGGCAATATAGTGTATCTACGAACTCAAACTATAACTTGTAGATTGAATATCGTACCGTAGATTGAGTTTCTAAAATAAAACAAAATAATTTTATAAGCAAATTTCCATGGACCCAATATGTTGGTCATGGATTAATCCACAGACCGTAAATTGAAAACCTGAAATGATTTATAGAAGCTCATGAATTTTGTGGATGGAATACGCATTCATAGATCAAACCACAGACTGTTGTTTGCCCTTATGGAATGTTTAATAAATTTTTAGTAGGATTTTTTTTTTTTGTATTTTCTCACTAATCCTAAATCATAATATTTTAACTTCTATTACAAGAGTATGTTTTATAAAATACTCAGTTTTTTTTTTTTGGGGGGGAGGAGGGAAATGCACAAGTATCCTCTTAATTTATGTCCATCTCAGAAACACACTTATATTATATTAAGGTTCTATTATCCGCTGAACTTATTTTATAAATAATTTTCTACCCTTTTTGGACTACGCTGCACTATCTTGTGGGTCCAGCGCATATTTACATTTTTTTTCAAGCTAGTACCACATAGGTCTAAAAGAGGTAGAAAATTATTTATAAAATAAGTTCAGGGGCAATAGGACCTTAGTATAGTATAAGTGCATCTCTGTGATTTATAGATTAGAGATTACTTATGCATTTCCCTTTTTTTCCTATGTTCTCAACTCCCCAAACTCAGAAGCAAATCACAAGGAAAACATAAAGTTGAGATGTCAAAGTTTCCGAGCAAGTTTTGCTTTTGAGCTTTATTCTCTCAAGTATGTAGAATTTCATTGAAAAATGTTTTTCATCCTTATGTCCAAAACTCCTAAATTTTAATGAGGGTTTATAACCTAGTTTCAACTTCACTACTCTTATCAATCGATTAGCACAATTTCTTGAAGTATTTATTTATGTTTATGATATTCTCGACAATGATATTTCCTTTTTATGCTTAACAAGGTTTTTCATTCTCATTCTTATTACTTTGATGTAGTTTTTATATTTCATGAAGCATGTGTCTCAAATTTTTTGAATGAATATGCTATTATATAAGTTCATTTTGACAAAACACAAGATATGCACAAACATTATATTTTCTTTTACATCATTGAAGTTGTGAACTTAAGTGAAAGATATCTTTTAGAAAGAGATTTCAACATATTATTAGAAAGATTTGAGTCTTATCTAGCACTTTGTTCAAATAGACATATAGTATTTTTTTTAATCAAATTATGAGCATATCATATATATATATTATTTTAGAATGATTATTTAACATCGAGAGGATGCAGATTTAGAAAATTCAAGTCTCATGACTTCATCCCACCTTAGGGTTTGAGTATGTCGTTTTGATGGTCAATTTTGTTGGAATTTATGCAGTTTTGATAATTGACAAAGAAAAAAGAAATATATCAATCAACATGATTCAAAGGTACACTATCACGAACTGTTGAATTCGAGAAAGCTTCTAAAATGAATAAAGACAAGAGTGCAGAAATAAAGGAATGGATAATGTTAATTTCGTGAGAACCCCCAAGAAAATAAACATTTGATGAATCAAAGAGAAATAATCAATGAGTTTGATTTGAAGAATGAGTCTAAAGAGACAAGTAGTTTTAATTGAAGGAGTCTCACTTAAAGTAGAATTCTTAAAGTTACTGTTGAATTGAAGTGTTGGAGTTCAACTACAATACAACAGAACCAATTAATGTAATTTGAAAAAGAAGTCCAAAGAAGGTAGGAGTTTGAATTGAAGAAGGAGTCTTATTTGAAGTAGAACTCTAAGTCAATAAGGAGATGAAATGAACAATAACTCTATGATAAATTGTGCTTAAAAAAAGTGAAGACGTTCAGAATACTTGTGCACTTACAGAGCAAAAGTGCAATTGAGAAATTCACTTTGAGAAATTCACTTCGCAAGTGCTACCAGCGAACTGAAGGAACATATTGAAGAACCTGATCCTTTACAGAGTTTATGTGTTAGTAGTTTTTTCTTATTGAATGAGTCTTGATGTAATCTTATTACAGTAAGTTATAAACTGAATTAGGAATGTTTTCTTCAGGTTGTAATAACTTGAAGAGTTGGGAACACATACCTTGAGAGGTTTGTGTTGAAGGTTAGGAATTAGAGTTAGTTCTACGATTACAGGAGTTGTAGTCCAAATCCATAACTTGAAGTTAAGTTAGGTTGCAAAGTTTGTAATTTATCTTTTGTAGAGGCTCGTAGTTTATTTAGTGAAGTTGGAGTTAAATCTTGTAAGGGTGCAGGTCGTGATTTTTACACCTTTTGAGCCGGATGTTTTCACGTAAAAATATTGTGTTTTTACTTACCGTCTTTACTGCTTTGTTCGAATATGTTAGGCAACCTGTTTCACAGTTAGGTGAAAAGTTAAAAATCAGTAAATTATTAGATCATGTAGAATATCAAATTTCTTCATCCCTCTGAGCTATGCCTTTTAAGGATAGAATATCCTATTCAATTGAAATCGTAAGTTGGATATCATCCGCTCAAACGATATTTGTCGGTTCGAAGAAACTCTTCTGTGATTAAATCTACTATCATGACTTCACAAATATAATATCTCTTTTATCTTCAAATCGTGATTGTAGAGATCGTTTCATCTTCGAATTTGGAAAGTAAATTCA